CGGTAAAAAGCGCCAGTCTAGACGGGATCTTGCGGAAAATAAACCCTTTTCCGGAAGATCCCTTATTCCTACTTTATTCGTCTAGACTGGCGCTTTTCTCCAGCAAAACCCCGAGCCGGAAAAAGGCGGCAGCCATGTTCATGTAAATGCCGTGGGGGATATTTAAATCCCCCGCGGCATTTGCAATTCCAAAGTGTCTCATTAGCATCCCTTTTACAGAAAAGGGTGCCAATGTAGACACAGCCTACCTGTATTCCAGCTTCCTCAAGGACACTTTTCGCTGCCCCTATTTGGCATTATGGCTATAGGCCAAAGTCTAGCCCTTTGTCCATTCCTGTCCTAAGGCAGAAACTTCATAAACTGTAATTACACATTTGATATACAGTAATTCTCACAGATTTTAATTTTGCTCAGATCTTATTTATTTATTTACTCATTATTTACCTAGGTAGCACACTGATTAAAAGCAATGGCTATTTGTGAACTCTCATTGCAGACAGTAGGGTTTGGCCAAATAAAAACTGAGTAAAGACCTCAGGACATGGCCCAATAAGGAGATTTCCATATTCATACACTGCATGTATGTCCCAAGCTTGAAAATCTCTATTCAAATCATACAAAAGATTTATATGCCTTAGCAGCAGTTTGTATGTGGTTTTTCAAAATATACTTTTCTTTGGAATTTTTATGACATTTTAATGTTGTTATTTGTTTAGAAGTCTCAGCACAGACAGACATTTGTGAAATTCACCAAGACTGGAAGCCTTCGTTTCTCAGCAATGAAGAGTTCACCCAGCTGATGTTGGAGGTAAAACTGCATATAATATTTCAGTGGATGTGCACATTGTTCTAAGAGCAACAATACCTTTGTGATCCCAAAAAGAGAGAAACTTTAGATTCTATTGTACTTTACCATAAAGCAGAGCAGTCATTAAAAAAGAAACAATTGGAAACTAATGTGTGTTCTAGTCCAGGTGTGGACACTGCAATAACTGAAACACAGGTTGAACCTCTCTAGTCCAGCACTCTCTTGGCTGGCAACATACATGGTCCAGCATGATTTTAGTTAGCCAGATGTCCACTTATCATGGGTGTGGCCAAGTTTCCCGCAACCCCATAAAGTTTGTTTACAGCCACCAGTCCTGTGCTGTTAGTTAGCTCTAATTTATCCCTAAATGTGGTCCCTATCAGAGGGGGAGCCAGGAGTGCCGTTTGGCCCAGACCTCAGGAAATAAAGGAACCTCAAATTTTGACATTTTTTTACTCACTCATTTCCATTTACAATAGAGTCCCGATTATCCGACCTAAACGGGACCGACAGGTGGTCGGATTACCGAATATGTTGGATGATAGGGACTCTACTGTAGCCTGGCCCCATCCCTGCCTGGCCCTGGCCCTGGCCCCTTCCCTCCCTGCAGTTCCTGGGTGCCCGGTCCTGCTTGCTGCCCTGTCACTCTCCTGGAGTCGCTGATGCCACTCCTACCGGCATTGCTTCGTCCCCGGGAGCTGCAGGCATCACTGGCTCAAGGGCGCGGGCAGGGAGAACGGCCCTGCTTGCTGCCCCGTTGCTCTCCTGGAGCCACTGATGCCTGCAGCTCCTGCGGACAAAGCAGCGCTGGCAGGAGTGACATCAGCAGCTCCAGGAGAGCGATGGGGCAGTGAGCAGGGCCATTCTCCCGGCCCGCACTTTATCCGCCCCTGCAGCTCCTGGGGAGAAAGTGGCACCAGCAGGAGCGGCATCAGCAGCTCCAGGAGAGTGACAGGGCAGCGAGCGGGGCCATTCTCCTGCCCTGCACCTTAGAGCCCCAGATGCTGCTCCTGTCAGCACCGCTTTGTCCCCAGGAGCTGCAGGGTCGGATAAAGTGGAGTGTCTGATTACCGAAGGACGAATAATCCGGACTCCACTGTATTATACACTTTGCAGTTATAACAGAGACAATAAAAAGAAGATATATATATATCTGCAAAAATTGATTTAAATCATTGTGGACATCGAGCCTTCACCAATTTTTCAGTCACATCTGAGTTTTCATCTGTGTGACTGGAGACTGGAGTAGCTTCTGTGATTAGTGATTCTGAGGGCTTGACGAATGGCGGCGAAAGCCGCTCTCCAGCCCCGCACTGCGCATGCACAAGACCCACATTGCGCATGCACACGCCGCAAATGAACGGGGCGCCCAGCTGAAATCTACTTGCCACGAGCGAGTAGATTCAATACTTTGTCGAGCCCTGGTGATTCTACATTATGAAATGCTGTTTACAGTCTTTGCATCGGTTAGAGGTTTTGAAAGTTGTAATTAATTCCGTTACTGTAAAGTGATTTTGCTTGGTCTGAGGGTGAATTTAACCTTTACATTAGATGTTTATCTCTGCATAAGAGATTTTCGTATTCCTGTTTTTTCTTATGTGTTTCCATTTACAATAACCATATCAGGCTCAGTGGGAAGGAGCAATGTGATAAGCTACCTCTTCATCCAGTTTTAGAGTCACCTTTAAAGGATTTTTTTATTATAATAAAATTTAAATTCTAGTTGTTTAATAAATGTTATATCTAATCTGGCAGTTGCCCCATGTTCATATTCATAATATTGCACCAGTTATTAGAGGATTTAATAAAGGGAAGATTTTAGCAGATGAAATTTCAAGACTTTGAAATAAAGCTATAAGGGCTGTAGTAAATAACACTCCCAATCCGTTATTATATAATATTAATTGTGAAGTATATACAATTAAAATTTTGTATAACCAATAGCCTTCAGCGAGTTAATTTATTGTGTGTTACTGTATTTTAAAAGAACCCCTTTATAAAAATTAAGCAAAGATTTTAATGTGATGCAAGTAAGGGTATGTCTAGACTGCATCCCTTTGTCAGCAAAGGGATGCAGATTAGGCAGGTCGACATTGCAAACGAGGCAGGGATTTAAATATCCCGTGTCTAATTTGCATAAAAATGGCCACCGTGTTTTGCCAACTCAGCACTTTGTTGGCAAAAAGTGGCAGTCTAGAGGGGGACTGCAAGGAGGCTTTCTTTCTCAACAGATCCCCCTAGACTGCCACTTTTTGCCGACAAAGTGTTGAATAGGCAAAACGCATTGGCCATTTTTATGCAAATTAGGCGCAGGATGTTTAAATCCCTGCCTCATTTGCAATGTCGACAGAGGGATGCAGTCTAGACATACCCTAAGAGATGGAGAAAGCAACAGAGTGAAGCAGCAGTTAAGAGTTTAAAGCCAATAATATCATTTCTCGTGAAAAGACACCTCAACCATTGGATAGTGACCATACTGACCATGACACTTTCAGTACTCATGACGATGAAAACTTTGTATCCACAAATGACATTTCAATGCCATTGCCTCAAAATGAGGAGGTCATTAATCAAGACACAGAAATGCCAATAGCAGCAATAGATGCAGAATCTATGCTTGATTTAGAGACTGTGCAGGCAGAAAATGAGGACCTCAGAGATGCTATACAGCAAGAGCAAGAACTTATGGCAAGCACAGGACACAGTGTAACAACAGTGGCCTCAGAACCTAATATTGCCGTGGTCCCCAACATGGTGCCCGCGGGCGCCATGGCGCCCGCGGGGGCATTTCCATGCGCCCGCCAGGTGCTCAGGGCTGGCCTGGCACCGGGCGCAGGGCGGGGGGAGCGCCGGCCCCGGGCATGCAGCTATGGGGGGGGCTGCCCCCGGGGCGCAAGTGTCCCCGCCCCCCGGCGCCCCGCG